GATTATGTGATTCTAGGCAAATCATTAATGTAAAAATTTTATTAGGTTCAGTTGTAATTGTAAATATTTTTAAGTTTTTTTACTTTTAGTCTTCCCATCATAGATATTTAGCTACAACCTGGATCACAATTACATTGAAATGACCAAATATGCAAATGAGATAATGTCATCTATCATCTTTTTAGAACAGCAAATATTTGGCAACAGTGCATTTCATCAGTGTAAAAGGTTTCTTTGAGGTTATATTTGTTTTAACACAGCAAATAATATTGAATGTGTGACTTTGTTTGGACTATGGCTCAGGTCTGAGCTATTCAAAAACCAGAACTCAGTACTGGACAAAAACAGAATATTTTACACATCAGAATGTTCTCAGATGTAAATGAAACCATCGGAGAAGAAGACCTGTTTTTCAAACAGAACTTTTCAGGTTTCAGCAGGATAATTGGACCTAAGTTGATTAAGTCATGCAGAACCCCTCCACAAACACGCACACCCTCCAAGGTCTTTCTCCTCAGCTTGGATAACTCACAATTACAATATTGTGTGTTACAGTGTCATGTCCCAGTTCAGGGTTTTGTTTGTGTCAGTAGAATTTTCCATTCATGCGTTAGAAAATAATTAGGAGCAGAATGCAGGAACTGGATTCTGATTTACTTGTTCAGGAAGTTTTAAAGCCCTCAATAAATAGATATGACACAGCAAAACTTAAAGTAAAAACTTTCGGAGTCATCCATCAGGAATGGTTACAGGTAGAACAAATTAAAGTTTGACCCTCACACAGGAAGAAGTTTTATCAACAGCTCCACAAACTGAGCCAATGTGCCGCCCTAATTAAAACATTTCTCTGGTTGAAAAACACGTTTGAATCTAACTTTGTATGCTGCATAAAATATCTGATGAGCTAACAGCTGCAAAGGGTTAAATCTGTCATTATAAATCTACACTTGCATTTTCACTAGTTCCGTCTGCAGTGGCCCAGTTGTACTGGGAAGTGATAATTTCCCACTTACAAGGTGTAAATTTGAACTGGAACATCCCTCTAGTGGGAGAGTTCAGAATTCAAGATGCCAGCTACTTAGCACAATTCAACAGTGAGTAAAACTCTCTTACTTTTACTTTACTGCTTTATTATCTCAGACAAATAGTTGTCCATATCATTTAAAAATAATAAAATTAAATAAAAACTGAATTTCTAACCCTATCTCTAAGGAAGAGTCCAGCTACCCTGCAGACAAAACACATTTCGACCGCTTGTATCAGCAAATTTGTTCATTTGGTCATTACACAAAGTTTGTGACCATAGGTGTGGGTAGGAAGGTAGACTGATCGTTAAACAGAGTTTTGCCTTACAGCTCAGCTCCTCTTCACCACAACAGAGTCTGCAAAACTGCGGAAGCTGCACTGTTGCATCTGTCAATCTCAAGCTCTATTCTTACCTCACTTGTGAACAAGACCCCAAGATACTTGAACACCTCCACTTGAGACAGAACTTCACCCCCAGTTCAGTTATCCAGGAGAGACTCAGAGTAGAGCCACTGCTCCTCCACATCGAGAGGAGACAGTTGAGGTGGTTAGGGCATAAGGATGCCTCCTGGAAGCCTCCCTAGGGAGGTGTTTCAGGCATGTCCAACTGGGAGGAGAACCCGAGGAAAACCCAGGACA